GTCTCGACGACCTCTACCGCTTGCACCACGGCCCCTCTGCTCCCCCACCGCCACGATGGGAAACACTTCTTGCTCGTGGCATCTTTGTTTTTTATATGCCTATGGATGATGCTAGGTCTTATGTCATGTATGCTGATGTTGACTATAGTGCTGCTGGATCTGTGTACTTGCCTGTACCTAGCGTAGGATCTTTGCCTGTTGCTAGAGTAGGTGCTAGTGTAGGATCTTGTTTAGCTAGTAGTACAGGTCCTCCTTCGGCGGACGCGTCTCTCTCGTTCACACTGGACTCAGAAGCGACGCAGTGTTTCTTCCGCGACCGCACGACTCTCTCTCCACTGCCGGCGCCAGTCTCTATCGCACTGGCCGATCCCTCCTCGGGACCGGTCATTGCGACTCACGCCACTACCCTCCCGTGCCCAGCTGCCCCTTCCGGTTCCCTGACTGGCCTCCACGTTCCTACGTTCTCTAGGAACCTGGTTGGTGTGGGCCCCCTGGCGAGACAGCACGTCGGGGTCTGGGTTGAGCCTTCTGGTGACACCGCGGTCTGTGTGGACGGTGACACGTACGCCCCCTTGGCCACTTTTCACCAGGATTCGGGCTCCGGTGTGTACAACCTCCACACCGACCCCCGCCAGGTTCCTCCGTCCCACCAGGTAGCCGAGTCCAGTCAGGTTGCTGTGTCCGGTCAGGTTGCTGCGTCATGCTCGTGTCGGTCGCTTGCCCACCCCTCCCTCCTCTGGCACCACCGCCTTGGTCACCCGTCCCTCCCTCGTCTCCGCGCTATGTCCAGTCAGCGTCTTGTCTTAGGCCTCCCGCGAGTCCTCCCGCCGCTCCCGCCGTCCCCCGCTCCTCCGTGCGGTCCTTGTGTCCAGGGTCGGCTACGCACCACCCCTCACTCCTCCTCCCTTTGTCCGGCCACCGAGCCCTTCGAGACTCTCCACTTAGACGTTTGGGGCCCCGCTTGCCGTCTTGGCCCTAAGCGGGAGAGTTTCTTTCTGGTGGTCGTTGACGACTACTCTCGGTACACCACCGTGTTCCCTTTGGCGAAGAAGTCCGACGTGACTTCTACGCTGATCCGGTGGCTGCTCGCCACCGAGAGTACTCGCCGTCGTCGTGTCAGTTGTCTCCACTCAGACCCCCGTGCCTCTCCTTCCTCTGTCGCGCTCCTTACTGCCGCTGTCATTGACTTTACTGCTACGCGTCACCTTGACTACGCCACTCGTGTTGTGGCCGCTCCTCCTGTCCGTCCTCTATGCGCCGGGGGTGAGTCTGCCCTTGGCTGTGCCGTCCTAGAGGATAGACAGTTTGAGCTAGAGTTCCTGGCAGCCGCTTCGCCTCATCTCTGTGCCATGCTGCTCGCTCCTGAGGGAGACCCCGACGCTCCTGACATACCTACTCCTCGCACTTACGCTGAGGCAGTGTTAGGGCCTTGGGCCTCTCAGTGGAGAGCTGCCATGGACGCAAAGATGGCCTCCTACAGGTCCACAGGCACTTACGTTGACGAGGTTCCCCCCCAAGGGGCGAACATAGTTGACGGCATGTGGATCTTCAAGGTGAAGCGGCCGCCGGGATCTCCCCCAGTCTTCAAGGCACGCTACGTGGCTAGAGGGTTCAGTCAGCGCGAGGGGGTTGACTTCTTTCAGACCTTCGCGCCCACCCCGAAGATGACCACATTTCGGGTGTTACTTCACGTAGCAGCACAGAGAGACTACGAGCTACACTCTCTTGACTTCTCCACTGCCTTCCTCCAGGGCAGCCTACACGAGGAGATCTGGCTGCGTCGTCCTCCGGGCTTCACTGGCACCTTCCCGCCTGGGACCCAGTGGAGCCTCAGACGACCGGTCTACGGTCTCCGCCAGGCACCTCGTGAGTGGCACGACACTCTTCGCTCTACTCTGTCCGATCTCGGGTTTGAGCCGTCTTCCGCATACCCGTCGTTGTTTGTTCGTCGTGGGCGCACACCTTTCTTCGTTCTGGTCTACGTTGACGACTTGGTTTTTGCCACAGCAGACACAGTTGCACTGGCGGAGGTGAAGTCCGAACTACAGAAGAGACACACGTGCACTGACCTTGGGGAACTGCGCCGCTACCTTGGCCTGCAGATCTCCAGGGACAGAGCCGCTCGCACCATTACTCTGACTCAGTCACACATGGTGCAGCAGGTCCTTCAGCGGTTCGGGCTTCAGCACTCCTCTCCTACACCCACTCCTCTTGCTGTAGACCATGGACTCACTGGGCCTTTTCCTGATGAGTCGTTCGAGCCCAGTGGTTCTTACGCAGAGCTGGTGGGCTGCCTCATGTACCTGATGACGTGCACTTGCCCGGACCTCGCCTTCCCTCTTAGCATCCTTTCTCGCTTTGTTGCGACTGGGAGACACCGTCCTGTTCACTGGACGGCGGCTAAGAGGGTGGCGAAGTACCTCGCCACGACATCAGACATGGGGCTTGTACTTGGAGGGACACAGCCAGTTGTACTCACCGGTCACTGCGACTCCTCGTACGCCGACGACGTTGAGACTCAGAGGTCTACGCAGGGTTACTGTTTCAGTCTGGGCTCTGGAGCTGTTTCGTGGAGGTCTATTCAGTCCTCCTCTATTGCGACTTCTACCGCAGAGGCCGATATTTACGCCGGAGCCCCTGCTGCACAGGAGCTACGCTGGTTGACCTTCTTGATTACAGACCTTGGTGAGCGGCCGAGCTCTGCACCGACCTTGTTTGCTGACAACAAGGCGATGATTCTCCTGTGTCGTGAGCCTCGACTGGAGAGCAGAGTGAAGCACATCGACGTCAGGTACTTCCTCCTTCGAGAGTTGCAGAGACGCGGGCAGGCACGTCTGGACTTCGTGGCCTCCGAGGCCAACACTGCAGACATCTTCACCAAGGCTCTTCAGCCTTGTGACCACCGCCGGTTCTGTCTGCAGTTAGGCCTCGTTGAGACTGGGTCTAGTAGACTGCAGTAGTGAGTTCTTGCCTCTTCTTTTTGCTTGCATTGTATATATTTGCATATACACTCTTGAACTGGCCTTGTGGCCACTTGTTGTTTGCGCTCAGACTGTGTGGTGACGTTGTGATCCACCCTGAGCTTTGTTTTGTCTCTTGTTTATGACTGGTCTTGTGACCTTAGGTTGCTGCTTGTTACTCTGCACTCCCCACTTAGACTATGGGGGTGTGTTAGATGTTCTAGCCGTTAGTGGTTTGTGCAGTAGGGGGTACAAACAGTTAGGGTTAGGAATATGTACCCCAATCCATTCAATGCAACTCATTCCGCTGTTTTCAGTTCATGAGATTATAGGCTACAGTGGGGTAGCCACTAAGGGGTACAACCCCTTTAGGGTTTGGTATTTGTACCGTCATACCCCGGATATACCCCCATGGGGGGCAATAATAAAACAGGTTTTTTTTTAGGGGGGTGGGCTTATAATCGGGTAAATTTATAAGCGCCGGCGTTTATAAAACGACATATATAGTTTATACATTTTTTAACACCAATATGTAGATCTCGTGCTTGCATTTTCAATCGAGTCGAAGTTACATGGGGTCGTCTGTGAAATTCTCGCGCGCACTGGGAGATACACCAAATCTGACAGCTTCTGACAGCTTCTGACAGCTCCTGCTGACTGGACCCGCATCCAGTGCAGGGTCCGAATGTGAAGGGAACCGAATCTGGAGACATCCGCCTGCTAAAGTAAAATTCGTTACAGGGTTTTGAACACATTTCAAGAATTAAAGTTTACGTGCGCTTATAATAAAACAGGTTTTTTTCAGGGGGTGCGCTTATAATCTAGCAGCGGATATAAGCGCCATGCGCCAATTAAAAGCGCCAGGCGCTTATCCAAGGGTGGCGCTTATATCCGGGGTATGACGGTATCATGTTTTCCTGAGTCATTCATTCGATCCTAGTTTCTCTAATTGAGACACAGCGTGGTCCATCGCTTCAAGTTTGGTGAGACCCCTTTCCCCTTCGCCAACCCAGTTCTTTCTCGCTACACTGACTTTGCCGAAATTACGGTATTGTTTTTTTAGGTTTCACCAACACTATTTCAACCTCACATAACTTGAAAAATTACGATGCTGACTTTCGGGTTTTAAGGGCCTGTGCTATTCCAATCCAGGGCTACCATTAGCCACTCTGCCTGCCCTGTTTGTAACTGCAATGCATTTCTTAAAGAAAGATCACTAGACATTCTAGAGTATCATTTGCACCACGGACCGCTTTGCACCGCACTGCACCACAAGCATTCCAGAAAAGTAGTGCTCCAGCTTTTACACAGGGGGTCCCCACCCCAGCAGGAGGCTGAAACTGGCTCATGCTGGGCAGAGCTCACCACTCACCCTGAACACTGCCTACTGAACTTGTGGGTCCACGCCAGTGAGGGCAGCAAGGGCAGGGAGGGCAGGGAAGGGGAGGTCTGGGAGGGCTGGGAGGGTAGGGAGGGCTAGGAGGGTGGGGGCAGCACATGGTGGCAGGCATGCAAGGGCGGCAGGCATGCAAGGGTGGCAGGCATGCAAGGGTGGCAGGCATGCAAGGCCGGCAGGCATGCAAGGGCGGCCAGCACAGGATGTCATCACTGCCTGCTCCACCCTGCCCGCCCTCCTCCTTCACACGGCACCTTCCAGAAGCGTTGCTCCTATTTCCATGATGGGGATACGATGGCGCTGACTGGCGAACAAGATCGCTGCTCCCAGAAATACAGCTGCTATTCCCATGACATGCCAATCAGCCGCATCCTGTTCCCCACCCTCTCTCCCCTCCCCTACTCCCCCCTCCAACTTCCCTTCTCTTCCTTTCCTCTCCCACCGCTCCACACTGCTCACCCTTGTTCCTCAACAACTCTTACACCGCACCACGAGCATTGTAGGAAAATAACCCAACTGCTGTCACATGCCGAGTCACCAGCGGCGAGCGGTGAGCGGTGCTGACTTCCCTTCTCTCCCCCTCTCCCCTCACCTGCCCCCAAACTTACCTGGTCTCCCTTTCCACTCTCCGCCCCTCCTTCACTCTACTTTCCTCTGTTCCGCATCTGCTCTCTTCTTCCTTTCCCCGGTCGCTGCGCCTTCCCCCCTCTGCTCCCCCCTCTCCCTCCCCCTCTGCTCCCCCCTCTAACTCCTCCTCGAAACCCTTTACCCGCGGAACCCCCCCTTGCCCCCCGCCCGCCGTCCTCGTCCCCAAAGCCCCCAAAGTCCCCGAAGTCGTTGGTGGAGTCCGCGTCGTTCTGCTTCTTCAGCCGCTTCCGCCCGCCGAACCCATACTTTGCATCCCGCTGCTTCCGCTTCTCCAACGACCCCTTCCCCCCTGTCCGCCCCCCGCGCGCTCCCGCCCCGCGCTTCTCCCCCCGTGCAAACTCCCCCCCCGCGCCCAGCGCCGCATCCAGCTCCACGGGGAAGTCCGCTCCGCCGGGCGCGGTTGGGCCGTCCTGGAAGTTGCTCTGCTGGCGCAGCTTGCGCCATCGCTCCACCGCCTGCACCGCGTCCTTCTTCTCCTTCTCGCGCTCCTTGCGCCGCTCCGCCTGCACCAGCTTCGCGTACTTCTTCCCCTCGCGCGCCTTCTTCCGCTCCTCCGCGCCCTCCATCTCCTTCTGCTGCGCCAGCAGCCGCGCGCGAATGCGCTCCATATGCGCGTCGCTCTTCACCATCTCCGCGTAGTAATCCGCCGGCCGCAGCAGCGCCACCACGGACTGGGGAAGCCTCCTCTTCTCTTCCGCCTCCACCCCTCCCGCGGAAGCAGCTGCGCCTGCGGCGGCGGCGGCGGCGGCGGCTGCTTCCTCCTGGAGCCGCACAAGCGCCGCCTTAGCGCCAGCTGCGGCCTGGGAGTAAAACGCGGCTTCGCGAACCAAATCGTCCGCCGCGTCTACGGCCTCCACGCCGCCGGGGGCGGCGCCAGCTACGGCGTCAGTGGCGGCGTCGTCCATAACGACGACGGCCAGCGACTCCACCCACGGCCGCTTGCCCGCCCACGCGAACTCGTCCAGCTTTCTGCGCAGCGCCGGCGCGTCGTTTATCGCGTGGGGTTTCTGCTGCGCGCCGAACAACGCCGCCACCTCGCCGTCATCGTCGTCGTCGAGATCCTCGTCCTCGTCGCCATCGTCGCTCTCGTCGCCAGCGTCGCCATCGTCGTTCCCGTGGTCGACATCGTACTCTTCGCCTCGGGCTATCAGCTCCTCTTCCTCCCCAGCAAGACCATCCGCCACCGCCTGTGCCTCTCGTTCAACCATGCTCGCTGCGGGTATCGAGTTGATGGGCAATGATGGCCCCCAAGCAAAAGCAGTTTCGCGGAGTGGTGTGGCAGGATTGGAGCTATGAAAGAAGAGGGTTTGGGTTCAAGCAGGGGACAGCGAGGAGGTTATGAACCTGAAAGTTAGGTCTAGGGCGCGTACCGTTTTTGAGAACGAGCCTTTCACACCACCGTTTGCTTTGAGATTTTTGGGTCTCCTGTCTCGCATTACCTCTATTACGAGTGCAATTGAGTGAGCAAACGAGGATTGCACTATCGAGGCAAGAATACATCTAGCGAATGAAATGAGCGAAAAAAGACTGGTAACGATAACGAGAGAATTTGGGTTGCGCGACGGGCTCACGCCGAGGTTGAGAATTGTTGAGGCGGAGGTCCGGAGCGCGGGTTACACGTCGAACCGTGAAGGTTGGTTGCGGTGTGACTAGTGGCGGGAACAGTAGTCAGAGCACGTGTCGCGTATCGTAACAGTGCACTGTTTGGGTACTCTTGGCGAGAACAGTCATGTACGCGGTAAGCAGGGGCGGGACGCAAGGAAAAGGAACGTTCATTTCAACCTCGCACGATACACAATCGAGGACGTGGTTTCGACGACAAGGAATAGCCAAAACTTTTGCGCGCACAGCGGGTTTGCAGAAAACTTACACGCCCTTGATGGGAAGAATTTTTTATGCGGGCGCCAAGTGTGGTAATTGAACTCGTTATTAGCAATGGACAAACAGATTCGTCTTTGACGATTCATCGGAATGTATACACTCAGTGCAGGTTATTAAATCGTTTATTATTTGCGTGGATCCAGGGCTGAAGTTTCGAATTTTAGGTACCCTGATTCCAAAACCCAAAAAACATTCTCGTCTGAAGGCACTTCTGCCAGAAATGGGGCACTCTGATTGGTCATTTTTCAAAAGTTAGGAACTCCCAGCACGGTGTTGGTATCAGACAATGGCTTCGTGCAAGTGCCAAGTGTGGCAAGCTCACAATCAGCTGACCTGGCAGCAGACACGGTATAGCTCAGCACGATTCTGTGCTGGGCGCGCTGGTAGTAGCTAGAGTTACAATGTATGTGCGTGAAATATTTTTTGTGGCTTCATAATTTTGACTCGTTTTGGCACGGAGAAATGAAGTGCGGTTCTGCTGAAGTACGAGACTCACATGTGACAAGGTTTTCGTTTGCACTAATGCGCTTTCGGCCATATGCGATTCGTTAAAATAATTTCGGCCATGTCTAGTTTCACAATTTAAGGGTTATTATAAGCCCCCAATTGGTTCGACACTTGTGATAGCATCAAAGAAGAAGTGTATTCTGATGCCCCTACTCGAGCAGTTTTCTCGAGAAGGAATCAGTAGTGCTGGCCTCGTGCGCATGCGGGTGTATCAAGGGGAAATTTCGACGAAGTTTCGTTCCGATAAACTTGCATTCAGGAACCACATAAACAACGCTTGGTAATGTCAGGCTTCGAAATCGGTTAAGTCTAAAGCACATTAGAAGTAATCAGGGGCCTTAAAACAATCACTCTGACTCAATCAGGGATAGGAAAACAAGTAATATGGAAAAAAAAACATTTTCTAGTGCCGAGACAGTCTGATTCGTCAGAATAATCATATTATTTCGTCTGATATCGTCAGCCTTGCGTGGATCCCATCCTAAGGTCAATACACCTCTGTCAACACCATTGTCTCCATTCTGCTTCGACATGTTTTACCTAGACTCGTATTTATTCAACACAATAATTCGTGTGGTGCGGGTTTCTCACTTGAAAATTCTCATGTACCGTCTGCGTTCGTACAATAGCCCGCCCTTGTGATAAGGGCGTGTTCCTACTGTTGGAAACATATAGTTCGTGCTTCTGAAGTATCAAGCACCACAGCGTAAGCGAGACGAACTATAGCGAAGAAAAAAGCGAGTCAACCACGGGAGGTTGACACGAGACAACGGTAAGAGGTTAAGCGAAGGTCAAAGGTCAGCGACCTTTGACTCGCCGAAAGCAGCGCGACAGCAAGGACACATAACTGACTCGCTATTGAGTAGTTACCCGAGCCGTCGAACCGCAACAGCAGTTACAACAGCAGTTAGTTAAACCTTTCATATTCCCTTGTAATCATATAAAAGCTTGTATCTCTTTGCTTTAATCAACTTATCTTGTCCTCATACACCAGCACAAGGTGGTTCAAACCAGTTCACTAAGAATGCTTCCGCTAATTGCATCATCCTAAGTCTTAGTCGTGAAAACGAACCCAAGGGCTTTTCTCAGCCCAACATGGTATGAGGGCTTGGAAGACAAGATTTAATGTTCTCAACTCCTTACAACGACAGAAAGAGCACCGCTCATCTGCTGGATCCCCTGGTGCTACTCCTACTCTATCTCCAGCCTCTGGACTCCAGACAGAGGGAGGTTCAAACCAAAGACCAGCTGCTGAATCCACAGAAACACCTGTCAATCACGCAACCGGCTTCGATCCGAGCATGATGGAGAAATTCTTCTCCTTCATGTCGTTTTACGAACAACAGCAATAAGTGGTACCTGCGCAGTCCAACAATAGCAACAACAACAATAGCGTTACCCCCATGAGTCTCGATGCCTCATCGTCTGCGCGTGGAAACCCGCAGCCTACCTTTGCGCCGTATGAACCTCAACGCGGCTCCATCAGCTTCATGCGGAATCGTCTCCCAGTCACACCTGGACAAGAAACAAAGCCAATGGACGCGCTTCAGCTGCAGTCACCGTTTGCACACGTTCTGAAGCTACAAACGACAACACCTTTCGATGGCAAAGACTTCTATACTTGGTTCTTTGAGTTCGAGCTGATGATGGAAGGCGCTCAAATCCTTGGCTTCTTCGACGGTTCCCTGCCATATCCAACGCACGGGACACAGTACGACAAGTAGGAGTACACGTATCAGACACTGATGGCACACACAATTCTCCTGTGAAACTTAACGGCAAATGTGCAGCAGAACATTCGCTCTTATCGCGGATACGGAAACTCCGCCGAGCTCGCGTACAACCACTTGAAGAACCTGTATCAAGCAAACGACAGCATTAATCAAAGTCGTCTCATGGCACAATTGACAATAGTCCAAATGCAACCCGACAAAAAGGGGATGGCATATATCAGTCGCTGCCGCAATCTACGCGACAAACTCCATCGATGCGGCGGGTCATTATCCGAAGAGGCCTTCGTCACTGTCGTCATCACATGCCTCGGTCCTCAATGGCGTTCCACCCGAGCCATCCTCCGAGCTCACGGAAAAATATATGAAGCAGCACTCTGCGCAGAAATCCACGCCGAGCAACAAGACATGGACCTGCACGAAGAACGACACAAGAAAAAATCGTCAGTACTAGAATTTGCATTCCACACTCAGAGACGCTACAACAACAACCGACACCACAAGAATTAGGCACAGAAACACGTACCACTGTTCTGCCACCTCTGCCAAACGTCCGGTCATTCCTGTATTCACTGCCCAAACCAGCAGCAGTCAACGCCACCACACGACAGCTTCGACCCTCAAGCAGCCAAGTGACTTCAACACAGCCGTCCAACCAGACACAAGTTCTGAAGACAACACCACGACCTGCACAAGAAACAAGGAACATCGTCAGCTGCATGACACGAACAGACTCATGCATCACCGGATCTCCACCAACGTACTCGCCAGAAGAAGTACTCGACGAACGTACACCTCGTCGCGAATCACTGGAGCCGAACCCGACGTACGCAGCCATCGCCCAGAGCGAACCATCCGGGAAAGATACTTCGTTCTTGGGCAGCTGTTGCGGACAACACATGTGTTCTTCAAGTCGCTTCGTTCAACGGGAGCAGCGCCTCAATCGGGAAGTTGTCATCACCGTCGCCAACAACCAGAACCTGCGCACACGACGACAAGGGGTAGTTCAACTTCAATCCCGCGAGACTAATGTCATCCTACAGATGTCAAAAGTGTTGATTGCAGAAGGACTCGGCTGCTCAGTGTCAGCCATCTCATGGCGAAAGGGATTCACCTTGAAGCCGACAGCACCACTTAGGAATTCAAGCTATACAACGGGAAGGGAGGACTTTAAATACGCAAGACGGTCCTGAAAAATAATGTCTTCGTCCTCGAATTAGTTCCAGATCTAGGCACCACCGACAACGATAGCATCGTGAGCTTCACCACTTGGACGCACCAGCCGAACCTCGATCTCGACATCAGCCCCGGAGGTTTCTGGTACTCACACACCATACATGAGGCAGAACGAACGAGAGCGTTAGCTGTGATATAACAAAACACGACGACAACAACATCGGCAGCAGCAGAGGCAACAACATCGGCAGCAGCAGAGGCAACAACATCGGCAGCAGCAGAGGCAACAACATAAGCAGCAATAGAGACAACAACAGCACCAACGTCAAACCTCCCTATCGAAGGTCCTTCAACGGCACTACTTCCTCTTGACGAGGCGACACCGACTCTAGCACAACAGCTGACTCCCGTCCCACGAGCCATTCACCGAAGTGCCAACTTCGTTGCCGACTTCTACTCCAACTCGGATCTGTACAGACGATCACTTGGACATCGCGCCAGCGAATCACTGTGGCACGAGAGGTTAGGACACCCCAGCAACAACATGATAAGAGCAAACGTTCTCGACAAGGACTCACTACTACTACCCGACAGCAGAGAACTTCAACGAGTTCGTGGAACCTGTTTTACCTGCCCTGAAGCTGGCTTACCCCATCAGCCGTTCGTCTCTCACCACAACCCAAGCGCACCAGCATACGCACCACTGCGTTACTTTCCCATATGGTTGGTACCAAGAGTAAGCACGTTACTTACCCATATGGTTGGTACCGAGAGTAAGTGCGTTACTTACCCATATAGTTGGTATAAAGAGTAAGTGCGTTACTTAACCATATGGTTGGTACTGATAGTAAATGTGTTACTCACCCATATGGTTGGTACCAAAAGTATGTGCGTTACTTACCCATATGGTTGGT